TTTTGGCCTACTCTGTATACATAGTTTGTGTTAGTATAGATTATATACAAGTAGAGGTTTATTTATTAGGGTATAGATTATTTTCTGTTTTTAAAAGTTAGAGCTCTATAAGATAAACCTTTTATGTTCTATATTTAGGCACAAGTATATCTGTAGGATAAATTCCTAATAAAATTCTTTTTCTTAGTTGGATGGAAGAGCATATAAAAATTTAAGTCCAGACACTAATGTTTTATTTAAAATGTATATGCTACCGGGGATTTAGCTCAGTTGTTCCAGCACCTGCCTCACAAGCACAAGGCCCTGAGTTCAAGCCCTGGTACCAAACAAAAAAAAATGTATATGCTTATTCAATTGATGGTTATTAATCGCTGTATTTTTCACAGTGACCTGAATCCTGCTTTTTTGGTTTAGTAGTAAGTTTAAGAAACTGGGAAGTATTTTTTGTTGTTGTTGATCTGGTCAGACCCTAAAAGTAATGATTTATAACGGGAAAAAAAGAACCCTCTAATGGCTTTCAAAATTCTTAGAATTTGCATGTTGTGGGTTGAAAGCATCAATAAATAGCATCTCCTTCCCTGTCTGAGGCCAGGATCATTTCAGAATGGAGGCAGAAGGCAGGCTGCTGGAGATCACCTGTATAGGCATCACAACCAGATGCCTCGCAACCAGATGGCGAAGTGGCTCCTTACTGATGCACCCAGTCACAGAAGGAAGGGCCTATGAACTTTAAGCCTAGGGCGGCTAGGGCCTGTGAACTTTAAGCCTAGAGGAAAAGGGATCTGGTGTTCCTAGTGTCTGACATCTCAGAGTGAGCAAAATGACAGGCTGAGCCATCTCTGTCTGGTGCCCTTCCGGCATCATTAGATAAGTAATTGTTCTCTTTGGAAAAGTTAATAATGGGAGAGATCAGTGTGCTCAGGAGTAATTACCAAACTACATGGAAACTAGAAGAGGAGATAGTGCTCTTCCCCAGCATGGTTAGGCAAGATGACAGGGCAGGCCTGCGTATAAGATGGGGAGAGGCCAGGTCTACCAGGCACATTTAACTGCAGCCCAAAGGTCACTTAGCTTCTTAAAAAACAATATAAAGGAAGTTTTGATATTTACATGCATGAACTATATGTTTTATGTGTGGCCCAAGACAATTCCTCTTTACTCATTATGACCTAGGCAAACCAAAAGGCTAATCACAACCTACATAGGTTACATTAATATATGTGCTGCCGAAGCGAGCACATACGTAGGTTACATTAAGGACATTGGCCTTTAAGAGCAGTTGAGAAGACAGCAAAGGATTTTAAGCTGAGGGAAGATAGCATGACCAGTGCTTCAGAAAAGGTCATTCTGTTTGTGATGAGAATGGAGTTGAGGTTGTAAGAGTCTAGGCCAGAGAGGATGTTGGCTTGAAGCAGGCTGATGGCAATGACGATCGAAATATGGAAGATCCAAGATATTTTAGAGGTAAAGTTGCCAGACACTGCCTCTGTTTTGCTCTTGGAATGTAAGAAAGAAGGCAGTGACTAGAACTGCTTGGAGTTTCCTGGTTTAAGCAGCTTCATGGATTCTGGGCCTGTGAATCCATGTCACTGACACTGGATCACTGGAAGGAGACTAAATTTGTAGGAGATAGAACTTGACTTCTCTGTTGTTCATACTGAAGTGCCTGTGAAGCATCTGCCTTGGGGTATCATGTGGTAAGCCAGGAGTTACATGGGCCTGGAACTCCCAAGGGTAGATGTGTCTCAGATAGTCGGCCTACATAATTTGCAGTTGGAGATGTGACTAAGATTGCTCAAGGAAGTAGGTCCCAACCTGGACTGCATACTGGAGTCGCTTGAGTGGGGAAGAAAGACCACCCAAGGAGACTGTGGTCGGGCATGGGCTTTTAGTGGCCCCTCTGGTAATATTTACATGCATGCAAGAGTGAGACACGCCAGACTAGAGAGAGCATGAGCTGAGATAGAAGAGGAGCTAGGATCGAGAGTTGAGGGACAATAATAGTTAATGGCAGCCAGAGAAAGCCAGCCTGCCCAGGAGACCATTGAGAGGTGGCCAGAGAGGGAAGCAACAGTCAATATGGTGGCATGAGTGAGAAGCCGGTTATGATGGGTTTGGGTTTAGCTGCATGGATGTTGGTCAGTAGCCAGGGAGAGCTGTCAGAGTCTGGGAACAGAAGGCAGTTGGAGTGAGTTCACAAGTGTGAGACATCTAACAGGCAACTGCAACAGGTGCTCAGGAGGGACAGTGTGGAGCCCGAGGTGTGCCTTGGGTTAGGATATTTTTGGCTTTAGGTAGCAAACTGACTCCGCTGGTTTAAATGGTGGTGAAAACTTAACTCCATTCAAGAGTTCTAGAAGGTGGTGGCTCTAGGTGGCCCATCATTGTCATGAGAGACCTAAGTTTCTCCAGCCAGAGTGTGACTTAGTCAGCAAGGTGCCCCTCAGGCTGGCCACTGTAGTTCAGTCATGAGACCAGATATTATAGCTTTTTCTTGAAACCTTTAAAAAGGATCTTAAAACACATACAGAAAAGTGAGGGGAACACAGTGTATGGTTGGATTTTCAGAAATCAGACAGCTGAGCCCAGTACTCACATCCTACCCCCAGGGCCCGAGCAGTGCCCTTTGTTCCTCCTTCCAGTCACCACCTGTTTCCTCCCCAGGACAGCTGCTGTCCCCTGGGACAGTCTTGCCTGTTTTTGTACAGTATAAATGATATCATATGCTATGTGTGCTTCTGCGTTTGGCTCTTAGCATTATTCTTTTTTGTTGTTGTTGTTTTGTTTTTGTTTTTTTGGTTTTTTTGTTTTGTGGTACCAGGGATCGAACTCAGGACCTTGTGCTTGCGAGGCAGGTGCAAGAACCACTGAGATAAATCCCTGGCCCTCTTAGCATTATTCTTGAGATCCATATTGTTGCCTATAGTTTCAGTGTTCATCGTTGCATGAATGCACCACACTTTATCCATCTTCTTTTTGGTGGGCATTTTAGTAGTGTCTAGGATTTTGTATCCATTTCTGTTGAGTATAATCAAGGAGTGGAGTTGTTGGGACAGGGTATGCTGATTATGTTCAGCATTAGTGCGTGGTTTTCCCGTGTGGTTGTGTCCTTTTATGATCTTACTAGCAGCATACAAGCTTCAGTTTTATGTCATCAGTACTTGCTACTTTGCATCTTTCATTTCAGACGTCCTGGTGGGTGTGTAGTGGTCTAGCACTGTGATTTAAAATTGCATTTCTATAATTTGATTAAAGACATTTAAGTTGAATTTTTTCATATTCTTACTATTTGAATATTCTCTTGTGATGTGCCTGTTGGCCTTTTACTTTTTTTCCTCTCCCAAGTTGAATGTCTTATTTGTCTGTAGGAGCTTTTTTGTTTGGTTTGAATTCTTTTTTTTTTTTTTTTTTTTTTGGTACCGGGGATTGAAATTGGGACCTTGCACTTGCGTGGCAGGTGCCAGAACCACTGAGCTAAATCCCCAGCGCTGCTTTGAATTCTAGATGTGAGTCAGTGGTCAGACGTGTATGCACATACCTCACACTCAGTGGCTTGCCTCTTCGTTCTTGTTTTCTTTTCTCCAAAAAATTGCTCATTTCTTTTTTTTTTTTGGTACCGGGGATGGAACTCGCGTCCTTCCGCTTGCGAGGCAGGCAGTGGAACCATTGAGCTAAATCCTCGGCCCCCTGCTCATTTCAATATGATACTGTATTACTAATTTTTTCCTTCATGGCAAGCACTTTTTGTATTCTGTTCTTCACTTGATCTTAGCCAAAAGGCAGAGAAGCGATTTTTTTGTATTCTGTTCTTAACCCTTGCTTACTCTAAGGCCACCAAAATTTCCTGTATTTCTTCTAAAAGATTGACTATTTAACTTTGATCTGCAGGCCTTCTGGAGTTCGTTTTGTATTTAGTGTGAGGTAGGGTTCAAGATGTCTAGGAATATTCATGTGACCTAGCACCATTTATTAAGAGAGTATATTTTTTTCATTTCTCTACCCTTTTCCATTGGTCAAGTTGTCTGTGTAGCCTCTTAGTAGGAACTGCTGTCTGGTAGTATTAAGTTACCTAATTTTGTTCTTCCTTGTAATCTCTTTTTGAGAGTGATGAATTTATGTTTGTGTGGCTATGATGTGAAGAACTAGTGAATTTAAACTAGGAAGGTAGGGAAGATAAATAAAGTCAGGGAGTGAAGAAGGAATAGCCGAATGAGTAAGGCTGAATAAGCAAAGTAGCAGGGAAGAGTTGAATGCCCGAATTAGAGATTTAAGAGCTGAGCAGGCTGGAGAGGTGTGAGGTTCTGCCGGGTGCCAGTAGGTGGCTGAGTCAGGGCATAGGAGGAGGTCGTTGATGAGAAGGAAGCCAGGACTAAGCGACTGAGGCGTGGATGTGTTAAACTTGACAGTTTATAAAACGTATTTTCTAACTGCCTGACTTAGTATCTATTTCAAGACAACTAGAACAGAATCCCCGGTACTCATCTTACAAGTGTCAAAGAAGTTACTGACTTCCTGAGGGCCCCAAAAGAATTGGTGATGGAGTTGGAGTTGTCCCAGTGTCCGTGCTTTGTTCAGTGCAGCTTAGCAGATGCGTCAGAAATGCAGGTGTTTCCGGAGATCAGCAGTCACATTAAAAGGCAAAAGTAGTGCAGAAAAACAGAAGGACTAAGTTATGCCCAGATAAGATGTCGATAAGATACATGTGGGAAATACCTCGGAAATACTGAAACTCCTTATTCCTGGGTAGTTGTGATTATGACTCAGGGTTGCTTTTTCCCTTTCGTTTTTCTGTATTTCCCATTTCCTATAATAGACATACATTATAATAGATATATCCCTGTAATAGACATATATTTCCTATAATAGAAGCACAATTAAAGTACTTTTTGACTAGATTATATACATGGAAAATTCAGAACATGCAAATAGATATACAATACACAGTACTTTTACAATGAATAAAAATGTTTAATTATTTTACTTCTTGATTTTCTTTTTAGAAATGCACTTGGTGATGGAAAGAGAGCCACTATTCTGAAGTGCTCCTGGCCAAAGGTAGGTTTCTTCTGTGTAGTATTTTACATCGAGCAAGTTAACACCACACAAATTTGTGAAAATCAGTTTACAGGATGTGCATTTGTATATTAAAATCCTGGATGAAATTGTGCAGAGCTTAAGAATTGGAAGGGGAAATCTTTGAGGTCCACTATTAGTACAAGGCTCAGCCACAGCCGGGAGTAGGGTACAGGAGCTGCAAGCCCCTGTATGCAAAGAGCCTGTGGGAAGGCTCTCGAGGCTGCAGAGTCCCTTAGCAGCTGAGAGGTAGCATCTGCACAGTGTGTTGAGTGGTCCTAAATGGGAGAAATGAATTTGAAATCTTAGAGGGAACTGCAGAGCATCTGTATAACCTTGAGGTAGGAAAGAATTTTGTTTTTTTGCTGGTGATTGAATGTAGGGCCTCTTGCCTGCAAGCTTGAGCTCTACCACTGGGTTATACCCCCAGCCCCAAGGTTTTTTACATGAGGCTCAATACACAAATCTGCAGTGGGAAAAAAACCCAAAAACCTACCTCGATTTAATTGATCAAACTGAAAACTTCCGTATGTCAGAAGACATGAATGAAACAGGCGGCTAGGGGAGAGCATTTATCACAGATGACATACATAACTGATAGGGCGTAGATCCAGAATATGCAGAGAACTCCTAAAATAAATAAGCCCAGTAGAAAATGAATCAAGACAGCAAATAAGCATTTCACGGAAGAGTAATCTGAATGCCCATAGAAATCAGAAACTATGTTCTAGTTCCCAGTAATTGAAATTAGAGGATTGGTACAAAGATAGAAAACGACATTAGGGGAGAGCAGAGGACCTCCAGAGTACCCACCTGTGCCCAAGTAAATAAAACAATGTGATGTTGTTTGGGTCCTTCCAATTAGTAAAAATTAAAGAGCTCAGGGGTCCTGCGTGTAAATAATGAGCACCTAGTAACAGAAACCCTCATAAACTCCTGGGCTGTAGATTGCTTACAGCCAGCTCGGAGCACACTAGGATGTGCATACCCTCTAATCCACCTGTGTGCACGCTGGAGAAGCCCTCGAGCCTATGTGTGCATGCCACAGTAGTGACTCGATTTCGCATGTGTGCACCTGGGAACATTTCTTGTGGTGCATTTCTTGTTCTTGGGGAACATTTCACATGGTGTAGTGTACAGGGTTGGTCATCGCAGCATTCTTTCAATTACGTAGAACCTCAGGCACCTAAATGTCCCCAGAAAAAGCACGGAGCTTGGTGTTTCATGTGACTGGTCTGATCTGTCCCCTGAGTGCCTTGCATTTTCCAACCCTCACCCTTGCTGTTCTCTGTGGCTCGGTGTTGCACCCCTAGCGTCCTCCCTACTCCCAGGCCCACTTCACCTTGTGCTGGCTCTTCCTCCGCCTCCAGTGCGTTCTCCCCACAGCATCAGCTAGCCCCCTTACTCACTGTCACTCTGTTTCTTCCTTTTTTCCCCCTTGCTTTGTGAGTGGTGTGTGTGTATGTTGACAGTTCAAAGCAGCCCAGGCTGGTCTTGAACTCACTGTGTGGCCCAGGCTGAGCTCAGAAGCAATTCTCCTGCCTCACCCTCCAAGTGCAAGGGTTCCAGAGTATAATCTCTGGGTTACCACACCCAGTGCTTTCAGTTTCTAACTGCACACCCTCTTGGTGAAACCTTCCCTTGACCACATTATTAAAATGCCAAACCTGCCCCTTCTAAACACTTTCTATCCTTTTTCTCGGCTTTATTATTTTTTTCTTTTTAGAGTTTTTACTGAACACTGTCTGTACCGTTTAGGTTCCATTGGTTATGTCTTCCAGTAGAACGGGGCTGTACAGGGAAAGGTTTCTCGGCCTGTTTGCTTCACTCTTGGATCTGGGCTGTGACAGGTTGCCTGGCTCAGAGCAGGCTCTCCCGAGCAATGCTTGTTGGCTTTGTGACTGAATAACCAGGCCCTAGATGGCAGTTGAAATTAGTTGACTGGCTTATCAACATTTATTGACTTTTCAAAACAGTATTAAATTTTAAAAATCAGTAAAAGTATAGCATAGCTCTCACACTCTGCTCCTGGGCTAAGGAAGGCGATTGGAGAGATTCCAAAGATAATACCCGAACTGCATGGTTTTATTTCTTTTACTAAAAGAGCTTCAGAAGAAAATGTAACAAGTTTCAAAGCATAATTCTGGGTGTTACATGAGTCCATAAATCTCTGTATTTTCCTAGATCATAAAAATACCCAACATTTTTTAAAAAGTGGAGCTTCAGATAAGACACAGACATGTTTCATACTTATTTCTAGCTTTACTTTTTTTTTTTTTATAAACCAGAATGAGTAGACTTATAGCATTTTAGGGCCTTAGAGAATTGTATCTCATTCATTATGTCTCTGCTGATAGACTTCATTGGATTAATTATAGGATTTAGTTTTATTTTGTTCAGTATTTTTAAAAACTAAACTTGTCCTTTAACAGTAGCACATGATTAAGAAGTACAGAAAGGCATGTAATAAAAAGGAAAAGTCAGCCTTGGGCCTTTTTATAAGATAGATTTCTTTGTCTTTCCTCCTAAAATTGTGACTCAGGTGGCCTAGGAGTGTATCCAGTAGTCTAGAGATTATAAAATTCCTCAGGAGGATTTCTGTATCAAAGTTTAGAATCATTTTTCAAATACCTTAATCTAAAAAAATAAATTTTTAAAAATAGTCTCATTTTACATATGAAAAGTTGAGTCCTGGAAAGGTAAAATGACTTTGGCAAGGTGTCATTGCTGGTGAAAGACAAAACTCAAATGAGATCCTAGCACTACATGATGTTTGTGATCGAGGATGGTCTGTTTGTTTCTGTTTTCATCTTGGGTTATTCTTTGCTTGGAGTAAAATAGTGAGCCTGGTATTTGGCAGGTGCTCTCAAAGTATTTGTAGAGTGAATGCATGATAAAATTCTGAATACCAAAGTCCAGACCAGAATACTGGTTTTCCAGAGATATTCTTGCAAATTTTAATCTTCTATCAATTTTTAAAAAGCATGCTAAAACTTTCTGAATTATTTTGACAACTTTTGGAGAATATTTGTTCCTGGCTTAGTTTGTCAAACACAAAATATTTGCTCCTTTTTAAAAATTGGGATGTTTCATGATGTTATGCTAGCAGAACTATTTGTGTAGATTAAAAAGTATAGGGCCAGGGGGGCGGGGTGGGGATTTAGCTCAGTGGTTTCGCCGCCTGCTGCGCGAGCACAAGGACCCAAGTTTGATCCCCGGTACCAAGAAAAAACCCACAAAAAAAGTATAGGGCTGGGGATTTAGCTCAGTGATTCCACTGCCTACCTTGCAAGCACAAGGTCCCGAGTTCGATCCCTGGTACCAAAAAAAAGAAAACAAAAACAAATTTTTAAATGTTCAACAGTGGCTGTACTTTTTTTTTTTTGGTACTAGGGATCGAACTTGGGACCTCGTGCTTGAGAAGCAGGCGCTGGAACCACTGAGCTAAATCCCCAGCCCAACATTTAAAAATTTGATGACTATATAATTAAGCTTTTTTCTTTTTATTTTATCAGATAAAAATGACAGTTTAAACTCCAAAAGCACAGTAGGCTGGGAAGGTGCATTCTTTAATTTTGTAAGAATTGCTTTCATTAGAATTTTGTGTGAACCTGAGTCTGCATAGATGGGTTCTTTAGATTCTGTATGAGGGCAGGCCACTTTTGCTTCCTTCTTTCCAAATAGAGGAGACTTGTACAGTGTCATCTGTCTTCAAATGTGCTTGCAGGCTTTAGAGAAGGTGAGTCATTGTGTATTAGAGTGAGAATTTTTGTGATATGGTCAACAGATTCTTGTTCACATTTCTGTATGCATTGTCTATTAATGTGTGATTTACAGGATACAAACCAATAGCCTCACGAAAATCTGTAAGAAACTTAATTTGGAAGGATGTATTGGTTTCTGTTTTTTGGTTTTTATTTTGTTTTGTTTTTGGGTACCGGGAATCAAACTTGGAACCTTGTGCTTGCAAGGCAGGCGGCTGAACCACTGAGCTAAATCCCCTGCCCATTGGAAGGATGTATTGGAACTTTTCCTTGGGAATGACAGAAACTTGACTCAGATTTGGCATGTGTAGTAAAGGGAATTTATTGGCTAATGTACTGAAAAGTGTGGGGCTTCATTTCAGACCTGGCTGGATCTCGAGCTGCATCTTTCTTTTTGTTTCTCTGGATACTGTATTTCCCTGTTTGTAAGTTTCATGTTAGGGCTTTTTCCTCCCTTTTTTGTTGGATTTTACCTTAGTTCTATTGCTGTGTCTTCAAGTTCACTGATATTTTCTTCTACAGTGTCTAGTCTTTCCATCCAGTGTATTTTTTATCGTAAATCCTCCTGTCTCAACCTCCCAAGTGCTGGGATTACAGGCTTGTGCCACCATGCCTGGCAGCCTGTAAATATTCCTGAGCTTTGTTTGTGATGCAGTAAAGTAAGAAGCAGTTTAATTCTTTGGAGTCTTGTTTTAAGCTTTGTGTGGTGGTCATAGTGGCATTTAGTTACAGGCTAAGTTTTCCTCACTACTGAGGCAAAATTTTTCTGAGTACTCAATTTGATGCCCTGTGATTTAGGACATTTTCCACGCTGGTTTCTGGGAAGAGCAATTACAACCTGGTTTTGTGTGAGTTCCAGCTGTTATTTCCTGTTAGTCTTTCCCTGGCTTTCAGTAGTTGCCCAACATGCATATGCTGATCAGAACCCAGCTGAAGACCCACGGAAGAGCTTAGGAGTTACCTTTCTGTGCAGCTCTTCTCTCTCTGGTCCTGTGCCTCTTGAGCTGAAGCTGGCTGGGTCCTTCTGCCTCCCACCTCCACCTCCACAACTGAGGAAGATGCCAGCCTCTGCCTGGGCTCCTTTCTGTGCTGAGGCTTAGAAACCCCTCAGTAAGCTGGAGCAATCTGAGACCAGCTTTCATGTGTTTCTCTTCTGTCATGGATCACTGTTTGTTGCCCAGTGTCTGGTGTCTTGCAAGCCATGGTTTCCTGTCTTGTCTTTTGTTTGCTAAAGGTAGGAAGAGAAGTCTAGTCTCTGTTATTCCATCTTGGCCAGAAGTGTGGCTTCATTTGAAAAGGACTTACCGTGACCAGTAGCCCAGACCAGTATCCCTCAGTCTGTAGTTCCAGTGAAAAGAGAACCTCTCTCAGGATCAGTAGAGGTAGCTGAGGGCTACCTCAGGCTAATCCTGACTGTGTCACGTGCCTGCCTGTGGGTGAATCGCAAAGACTGGGAAGTGGTACCTTCCCATGGGCAGTCTCCTGGGTCACAGCCGGGGCTTTCACCCCACTGCCCCTTGACGGGTTGGAGCACCAGCCTGACCCTCCCTCCCTGACTTTGAGGAGTGGGACATGGTGGACCCTCAGTTGGGGGAGGCCAGGCAGGCAGGCAATAGGGAGTGTCCATGAGTGTGATAAGGAGAGTGTCGGGAAGAACAAAACATTCTATGATAATGGGGTCAAAGAACTCTGAGATACTTTTAATTTAGAGTTCAAACAACTTCAGCAAAAGAGTCTGAATAAACCCTTTTCTCGATCGACAGAAGTTATGTGTATACTGGATTTTATAGGGTTTAGGGAAAAGACTTCGGGAAAAGGTGAGAATAATGAGGGGAAAAGAAAAATAAAAGTATTCTCTACAAATTTAGCAAGTATGGCTCATGATTTATCGTTATTTCCTGCATTAGCTGTGTTTTTCTTGATTTTTTATTTTTTTTGTACCAGGGATTGAACTCAGGACCTTGCGGTTTGAAGGCAGACATTGGCACCACTGAGCTAAATCCTCGGCCCTGCTGTGTTTTATTTTTTTAATGCAGTTACCTAAACTTCGAAGTTGACAATGATCTGTGTATATCAGAGATCTTTTATCTTCATATACTTCAGGTGTCAGGAAACAGGGCTTCTACCCTCTAAGGAAAAGTAGAGCTTATGAGATGCTATCTGAATTGAGATCTTTGATCTAAGCCTAATTAGTCTGGATAAAAAGGTCCTTGAACGCATAGATTCACAAGAACATAGCACCGAACCTGCATAAACATGTCGCGTGATTCTCTTAGTGAAAGCTGTTTTGTTTTGTTTTTTTGTGGTACCAGAGATCGAACTCAGGACCTTGCGCTTGTGAGGTAGGCGGTGGAACCCCTGAGCTAAATCTCCAGCAAAAGCTGTCCTTTCTTAAAAGGGGCACTTAGTTTTGATTTTATATTTTTTCCTAGATTTTCATCGAATTAGAATGTTGTTTGTAAATGTGTATTAGATAAGAAAGAGATCTGGACCAGGTATCATAAAATCAGGTGCTCAGGTTTGCCTTGAGTTCTAACCTCTCTCTAGCGGAGACACTGTGCCTAATATGGGAGTTTGTTTGTTAGTAGTAGAGAGGTTAGCTGGGTCAGCTCCAGGTTTGGTACTATTAGCTTTCTTGATCCAAAAGTTTGTATTTGATATAGAAGATTTCCCAAATTTTGGAGTCAGCAAGGATTTTGGTTCTGTGGCAGAAAAAGGAGACCAGACAAGAAACTTTATCATTGGAATTGAATAAAATCAGTGATTTTCAGATTTTTTTAAAGCCAGGAAATACATTTAGAGGTAAAATAATTAAAAACTGACTGAAGAGGCAAGGGATAGCCTAACTGCACCCCTTATTTGTGCCTGTGCTCTTCAGAAGTGCTGGGAACTGCCACACACGCTGATGGTGCCTTCCAGCTCTCAAACCATTTTGATTTCCTAAGTGCAGGGCAGTGTGGTGAACCTGCGGCACACTTGCTACTGCGGGCGGGCTGCTTGTGTCATGGAAAGCTCTAAAAGGTTCGCCATCCCTGGTTCATAACTTAGAGACTATTAATGGATATTTTGAAACATTAAGTTAACTTATGTATAATGAATGATTACACTTTATTGGCACAAAATTGTGTATTTTATACTTCATTAAGGAAATATAGCAAAAGTTCTTTGCTGGGGGTATAAAAATTTTTAAACAAAATATTACTCTCTAGATAATTTGTTTCCTACAGTATGTACATTTTTATTTCCCATTAATGGGGGCCTAATCTAACTTTTTAAGAAGTTAATTTTCAACAAAATAGTTCTCCTTATCTTACTTTCTTTAATTTAAGCATACTTTTGAGAAAAAAATTAAATTTATCTTTTTGGAATAGGGTCATTATCGTTACTGTACTGCTCTTTCTCTGCTGGGAGAATATGACTGGGCCCTGCAAGCAAACATAAAAGCTCAAAAACTCTGTAAAAATGACCCTGAGGGAATCAAGGATCTAATTCAGCAGCATGTACAGTTACAAAAGCAAATAGAAGACCTACAAGGTATTTCACCTAAGATTCTTTTTGTTACGGGTGAATTCCCATTAACACTGCGGAAGATGAGCTTCTTAAATTTTGGAGGACCATGAATCAGTCCTCAGATGGTTTGTTCTTTGTTATGTTATCTTGGTCAAGTCACCAAAGCTTCCATTCTAGCTGTGTAGGATTACATTAGTTCTATGTTCCTTTAGGTAATTATCTAATGAAACAGATAGCAACCAATTTATTGTTTATTCTTCTGTAGGAAAACACTGTTTCCAGAAATTCTGAATAAAAGGTTTTTGAAAGAAAACTTTTTCCCCCATTATTAATTTCTCTTTTATTTTTGGTACTGGGGATTGAACTCGGGACCTTGTGCTTTTGAGGCAGGCAGCAGAGCCACTGAGCTAAATCCCTGGACCCTAATTATTAATTTCTAAAGAAAAGGCTTTTAAGTAGAGTTGCCTAATGATTTTGCACCAATTTTTGCTAATTCTCTAGTATAGTGAACATGAGTGTATGCACGCACACACAGAACAGAAATTGACTCTGTAGGCCAGGAGTTGTAGAGGTTTGTTCTACCCCTTTTTCTTTTCTGTTCTTAGTTGTTTTTTTCTCCAGTGCTTGAGATTTCCTCACTCAGTACTTTGAGAGCGTAGGTCTCCTGCTGTTCTCCTCTTGAGCTTATTCAGTGTCTGTGGAGCTGAGCTGAGCGCTTCTTCACTGGCAGTTCATCCAGCACAGCCTCATTCTAAGACTGTGAACCCCATTCAGGGCAGGAGGCATCTTTTATCTACATTCTGTATTGCTGTCATCTTGCAGTGATCACATGTAATTGGATGGCAGACAAGTCTAGAATTATGAAATTAAGTTTATTTTCCAGCTTTCTAAATTTGATGTTCTTAACTACCAGTTTAAGGGAAATTTAAAAGTCTTGCAGTCTGTGTTGCCAATCCATTGATTAGTGTGTGTATGTGATTGACTTGTAGGTCGAACACCAAATAAGAATCCAATTAAAGCTTTTTATGAAAGCAGGTGAGTTACTATCAGGTCAGTAGCTGCTACTTGGAATGCCTTTGCCCTATGGTGTTTGTCACTTTAGGAGCTGATAGCACCCACAGTAAAGTTGAGCGTAGAAGGAAAGGAGGATTGTTGTGGTTTTGTTTAGAATCGGGTGGCCTGTGAGTTGCCAGATGGATACTGCGGTTTCCGGAACTGTTGGGATGTGTAGTGACTGGGGATGAGTAGCTTGAGCCGTGGGAGAGGAGGCCCGCGGTGTGAGTTTGGCCTGGAGGCTGCCGGCAGAGGGCGCTAGCTACCTCGCGCTCCGCTCCTTCCCCGGCACGGCCTCCAGACTGCGGGCACCTTTCGGAGGCTACAGGCCGACTCGGTGATGCTTTCAAGAAAACAAGTATCGACCAGGGTTCTACAATGGCCCGTTTGGCAATTAAATTAAAGCTTTTGTGTCCATGCTCATTGAGAATGTAGGGTGTTAGAACTCTGTTACACGTAAAACAAGAAGACCTACTTTAAGGTCTTGAACTATTTTTAACTTTTTTTTTTTTGGTACTGGGGATCGAACTCAGGACCTTGTGCTTGCAAAGCAGGCACGGAGCCACTGAGCTAAATCCCCGGCCCGTTATTGTATTTTGAATTTGATGCCGAATTTAAAACACAATTTATGTGTAAAGTCTCATGGAAAAGAATCTTTTCAAAACTAATAGCTTGTTTATAAAGTTAAAAAGTTACGATGCCTGCAAACTGTTTTTTGCTTTTCTGAAACAAGGTCATGCTGTGTAGCCCAGGCTGGCCTAGTACTCAAAGCAGTCCTCCCCCTCAACCCTGAGTGCTGAGATGACAGATGTACAGCACCATGCCCAGCCTGCGCCTGTTTATCTAATGGATAATTTGTTAAAATGCTTACTATAGCAATAAAACTATCATTTCTTTCACCCCTCAGGGCCCATATACCTAGGAATTTACCAGCACCTGCTTTTACTGCATCACTGAGCTTTGTGGAGAAGGGACGAGAGTTCCGGAAAGCTAACCAGGAAATGGCTTACGGTGGTAGTGAGAACATGAAGGTAAGCTCAAGTAAAGATGAACACCATGTCAAGTACAAATAGTCTACTATTTTTACACATTTGGTGTTTTGTTGCTTTTGGGTTTTTTTGTTTTTTGAGATAGGGTCTCGCTAAGTAATGCAAGTTAGCCTTGAACTCGCAGTGATCCTTCTACCTCAGCCTCCCGAGTGCTGGGATCACAGGCATGCACCACCATGCCTGGTGACATTTACGTGTTTTTAAAATACTTTTGCTGAATATCATTTTCCCACTTAGTTTGTCTGCCCTCTATTTACAAGCCTCTTGGGACCGAGTGAGAGTGGATCTGGTGGCCAAATTACCCTTACCCCATGATATTTGATATTGTTTTCCTCCCTTTTCCTTTTGCGGTCAGTTGGGCTGCCTGGCAGGGCACCAGTCTACTGCCCCTCGTTTGCTGTTCAGGGGGATGAGGGGGCAGCCTCTCCCCACCTCTGCCCAGGGTGCTCCTGCAGTTCTGTTGCCCCGGGCAGCACCAGCTCAGCCTGGATTCATGGCTGTGCTCAGCAGAAGTCCCTGTCTGGCATTTCCTTGGAGTCAGTGGACCTCTAGCCATAGGGAGGTGTCTGAGCTCCTCTCTGACCTGTAGTATGCACACACCTCAGCAGCTGGCACCAAGTCTAAACGTTTCTCTTCTAGGTTTGGGGAAAGAAAAAGAAAGTAATATTTTGGCATTGGGTGTGTGATAAACATTGAAGGAAACTTTTTTTTTTTTTTTACCAGACTGTGTAGCCCTTTCCTGGATAATATTGAAAATCTCCAGGAGGTGGCATTCAGTTAAGGAGAGAGCATAGGAAAGATGAGATTGTATTCATTTAGTACTGACACTGTTGAACATTTGCCATGTCAGATATCATACTAGACATCAGAAAGGAATTGCCATTCAAAAATTTGTCATTTATCTTGCTTTCTTGTTGTTACTTATCATTTCGTTATACATTTAGGCGTAATGACGGCCTGCACATTTTAAGTGCCTGAGTGACTGTCATATTCTGTTCTAAATTCTGTTCTGTTATATAGCTGTTGAATTCTTCCTGGCTGTATAAGAGTCTCACGAGTTTTTATTTTCATGAGCAGGAAATAGATGAGGCTTTGAGATCAGATGATTGTGACTGCCAGACTGAATTTATACAATCGCCAAGTGAGTATTTTTCTTGGACACATATTACTGAGTTAATGTAGTGTTGTCTAAAGTGTTAAGCCCTAACATTTGCCCAGGCCTCACTTTTATGTGCTCTGCTTTTGTTTTATGATGCTCTGTATTAGTCAGCCTTCCACCAATGTAATGAAATTCCTGACCCAGTTTAGTTAAGGTTAGTGTGTTAGACCTCAGTCTCTGGGAGTTTTTCACGTGGTATTCCTGTTCAGAATGGACGCTTGTTTAGTCTGTGTGGAGTGCTGGACCAAAAATACCTGAACTGGAGAGCTATAAACAACAAGTTTTTATTTTTTTGCATGTCTGTAGGCTGGCAAATCCAGTATCACAGTGTCAGTAGATCTGATGTCTAGTTCGTAGAAGGCTGTAGTGTTGCTGTGTCCTCCTGTGGTAGAAGGCCCAACCCTGTTCACAAGGGCACCTCTTCATGATCGATTACCTCCTAACGGTCTGTCTCCCAGCACCATCACTTTAGGAACTAGACTTTCACCATGGGTATCTTGGGGCACAGATAGCTAAGTTACAAGAATGGTTTTTAGGCTAACTTCCATTTGGTTTCAATTGCACATACTCAGTGCTCGTTTTTTTAAAATGCATCTAATTGTATTGGTCAGGCTTGTTGTTGTTGTTTTTCTGAGACAAAAACACTTGACATACACAATTGAAGGAGAAAATGTTTATTTTGGTCACAGTTTTGGAGGCCTCAGCTCATGGCTGAAGGGCCTGGTGGAGAAAGGCCACCCACATCATGGCGACCAGGAAGCAGAGTCTGGGAAAGAGCTAGAGAGGAAGGGCCGAGACCAAATCTGCTCCCCAGGGTCCTCCCCCACGCCCAATCGGACACACCCAGAAGTGCCTCTGTTGGTCTCTTACTCACATTGACGGTCAGGATTAAACATTGGACCTCATCACATAGCACCCCTGGGAGATGAGGGATTCCGGAGAAGCAGATGCTCCTCTTCCATCTATTTCTGAACCTTTGTTTATGTACCATTTTGATGAAAATCTTTCTAAAGTCCCATACATGCTAAAGTAGATTACATGCTTTGCTTTTTAAACAAAGTTCTTTGTGTGGTATTCCTTTCAGGGTTATCGTGGTGAGATTGTTGGCTTTCCCCTAGTGACATCCTTTTGCTCCCTTTTCTTTTGTTTGTTGGGGTTCCCCCCCACTGGTTTTGCTTCTAACACCCATTGGTGTCTTTTTTGCCCTGTAGCTCCGTCTTGTCTCAGCTCTAATCCCACATAGCCACTTGCTGGGCATCTCCATTTAGCACATTAGTGTGCTTAGGAGAGTAGGAGACACAGGCAGTTGTGTTGCCTGTTAGAATTCCAGTGAGATGGGAAACATTTTTGAGGATAAAACTCTTTGAAAGGCAGCTTTTAATTTGTTAATATTTCTTAGGCTGTTATTATCAGACAACACTTTAAATAAATAAATGCTCTCCCTCTCTCACCATCTATATCTAGGTAGCAAACTTGAGGTCCCAGAGTGAAGGTTAAGAAGTTGTCCCTAAGACCACACAGCAGAAACCAAACTACAACTCGCTTGCCTTTCCTAAGCCTCTGGCTCTGAGGCCTCCAAAGCCAGCCTAGGTTCTGTTCCTCCTATTTCCACCGACCTTGGAGGTGTCTGTGCTGTCTCCCCACACTTTCCATGCATGTACCCTGCCACACTCACCCACTTGCATAGCTTTGAGTGTGCCGTTCCCCTGCCCAGAAAGATGCAGGGACTACCTACTCCTGTCAGTGAGAAAGGGCCGGGCTCACCAGGCCGGGAGCTGAGCTAGGGGCTGCACCTGGCCTTTGCAGCCCTGTGCCACCTTCCGCCCTTGTGCAGCTCTTCTGATTATGCAGGTGACTTAGTATTTCCAGACATTCTAGGGATCCTGAGTGAGCTCTTAGTTCTTATAGACTGTTGGATTCGGGCCATTCTGTCCAGATGCTACCTGTTCCTTAGAACTAAATACAAATACTGAATCCTCACTAGTGCTTGTCCTAGCTGTTCCCTTTAAGTGATTTCTGCCTTTCGTGAGTTACCAGAGAAATTACTGTGGAATTACTATGCTGATAATGGCACACTATCTTCTTTTCTTTGAAATGGTGATTGTTGTTTATGATAAACTGCCTGAAAATACGAGCTGTCGCTTGTTTCTCTTTAGGTCTGCTATAGACCTAAATCCTTTTCTTGTTATAATTTTTCTTTTCTTTTTTGGCTTTTTTGAGACAGAGCCTCTCTATGTAGTTCAGGCTGGCCTTGAGCTTACCAAGCCCAGGTTGGCCTTGGACTCACAGTGACCCTCCTGCCTCAGCCTTTCCAGTGCTGGGATTACAGGTGTGCACCCCACACCTGGTTTGTAGTTTATCTTTATAATAATTTTGTAACACACATAAAATACCATCAGCAGTATTTTCTTTTTGGGCTTACCTGCTTATGGTGACATTTACACACATTATTCCTTCTTTGCTTTCTTATTCTCATATACATGCGCTTTTGTTTTACTCCCAGGTTTATAGATTTTTTATGTACGTATTTCAGGAACAAATACTTTATATTGACAGGTCATCCTCCAAGACATAGAGGAAGACATAAACCCCGAAACAATGAATCGGAGAAAGTCAAGTATGTTTTTTCTCTAATTTTATAGGGATTTTAATTGAGATTAGATTGGATTTAATTTGGGGGAAATCAGCATCTTGGTTATTATTTCTGTTCAGGAACTCATGTGACTTTCCATCTACCCAATATTTTAAGTGACCTTCAGTGAATATATTTTTTTCCTTTCGGACTGTTCTTTTTAATGATTTAAAACAAATGCTTTTCTCTTTTAGCTCTAATTCAGAGTTGGCTTTGCCAGTAGATTGGAGAAAGCTCTTGGAGAGAGAGTTTTCTAAATCTTCCAGAGCTGCTCAGCAGGTAAGGGAAAAAAGCTTTTCCAGTGAAAAAAGAAAACTTTTTGAACAAGATGTTTTTCACATGAAGTTCTAGTCATGGTTTAAGAAACCAAACTATCATTAATTTAAATATTAATGTGATAATTGTTAACCAGGTTTAACAAATGAATGAGAGATACCATAGAATTGTTTCCCAAAGCTTTAATAGTAATATTAACTTTAGGGGCCCGGGGATTTAGCTCAGTGGTTCCTGGGCCTGCCTCACAGGCACAAAGTCCCAAGTTTGATCCCCAGTACAAAAAAAAAAAAATAGTAATATTAACTTTAAATATTTTTCGAAGATTTAGCTGTGCAGATTCATTATATCTACTCTAAAATCATTAAAGAGCAAACTTTTAATTCTTTGATTTAGCATAATCAGATAAATTGTATATAAATAAAATAAGCTTTGTATATAAATTTTTTAATGTTAGTGATGAAAATGTATATTAACATGGAAACAAGGGTACTTGTGTGAAAATATGTGTGTCATTTAAGAATTCAGTTAATTATTTTAGGTCTACATATCTTACAAATGAATGAACTTGATTTCTATAATTATTTGTGTAAAAGCTTTTTTAGAATATGTAATAGTTGGATATATTTGAATTATATGTTCTTGCATTGATTCACTGACTCTAAAAACATGAAGGACTTAAAATAGAAAAGACAGCCTGTAGAGAGATGAAAGATTATTTAAATATTTATGATAGTGATTTTTGTGTCACCATCTGTTCATTCTACACATTTTCATTGGGACCCACCCATGTGCGGAAGTCCGAGAGAGGCTGGGCCTGCAGGGATGTGAGCCAGCCTACCCTGTACAGTTGGTCCATGTCGTCTCGCATGTAGGGAAGGAATTCCCAGGGAAAACATGAGGCTGTGTGGATCTGTTGTCTAGAATGAGAAAGAGATTAAACTTGAATCAGTTCATGCAAGGCTAATAGTATTTGTGGGGTTAACATATCTTCTAAATTCTAGAATTCCTGTCTTAAATATGGCAATAGTTGTATGTTTTAAGTACTGTAACAAATACCAGGTTTGTGTGAGAGCTGCTCTTTCTGTGCGTGTTTCTGGGGAAAGTTCTAACCTTTGAGTCACTGGATAGAAACTAGTAAGAAGTTTTTGTTAATATGTCACCAATGGCTTTCTCTTTCTAGATCTTTATTGTTAGGATGAGTGAGGAATATAGTAGTCAGGTTTGCATTTCCTGCTCCAGTGAATGGTATACACATGCATGGAAAGAATAAGGCGATTTCAGCTCAATGTTGAGACTTACCTCTCCAGGCTTTATGTGACTCTGTGACTTACAGTGATTACCATGTAACTTAAATCTGAATTCAAATTATAATGTTTGTGTATAAATGTATTCAGAGTACAAAATGCTTCTTACTTTAAGAGTAAATTAGAATAATTTTGGAGTTATTTTTTCTTTTGCAGTACTATGGTTTGAACTCAGGGCCTCATGTATGCTAGGCAATCACTGTACCACTGAGCTCCATAAAATATTAAAATTTTGTTTCAAGACAGATTCTTGCTAAGTTTCCCAGACTGGCCTTGAATTTGCAATCCTTTTGCCTCAGCCTTCCATGTGATTATGTATATATATTTTTAAATTTTTTTCTTATATTTTTCCTTTTACATTTAACCTATTGATGTCTCTCTGAATAATTTTCTCTGACTATATTTAAATACATGTTAAGCAGGAGTAGAGTTAAAGATCAGAATCTCTATTTCTTGCTTATAATTAGGATTTGTCTCAGGGCAGGGTAGCAGTTGTTAAAATGTAGTAATGATCAGTACACAGATTACATGAAGTGATGACTGGTGTTCTCCATATACATTGTTAAAAACTTCAAAATATTGTCTCTGTAGTCTGAGAGAGCAAACAAGGCTTAGCACCATGTAGAGTAAAATGAAGAACTCTTTTTCTTGTCCTGGCCAGTGGCAGACACGTATTGAGATGAAGATGATAAAAGTAGTGGTTTATACTTTAATTTTAAGGTGCCATTTTGCAAAGGGGTAGTTAGGATATTGAAATATTTACTATAACTTATAAAATTTCACTAGTGGGCTTAGCATCTTAAGTTTTATTTTATTATTTATTTATTTATTTATTTATTTTGGTACTGGGGATCGAACTTGGGACCTTGCACCTGCAAGGCAGGCGCCAGAACCAGTGAGCTAAATCCCCAGCCCCATCTTAAGTTTTAAACTAAAAGGTATAGGTTTGGAGTACTGAAATAGAATTATTTTTCTGCAGGACTTTGCTAATATTATGAAAATGCTGAGAAGCTTAATCCAAGACGGTTACACTGCCTTGCTGGACCAGCGCTGCCGCAGTGCTGCACAGTCATTTTCAGAACTGCTGAATGGCTTAGATCCTCAAAAAATAAAGGTAAAGTGGCCAGGTCATAATTAATTTGCCAGTCCTAATGCACTGCAGATGAATTTAGAAGTGAATCAGAGTTTTAACTCACATTAATGCATGGTCTGCCTTGCTGAGATTGGATGGGTCTCCTCCACCTTGTGGGAAGCAAGTGACAGTTATACTCAATATAGAATCCATGTTTATACTCATTCGACCATCATTTGGGTTCATTACAACCTCCTGGCCTTTTCTTTTATTAAAAGTACTAAATCACGGATTTGGGCTCACTTAATTTGTATCTTTTCATCCAGCAAGAAAGTATGAGCTAATGCTCACTTGCATGCACAAGAATATGGCTTTAATTAAAAATTGTTCTATCTATTATGAACTATGCCTTAAGGAACTTTGAGTCATTGATTCTATGTTTTAAATACTTGATAGCAGTATAACAACTTATATTTGCAAAATATATTTTCTGATCCTATTTGATCTTTAACCCAATCATATTGATTAATGAAAAGTTATCATACTTCTTTTTGCATGATGCAAATTGATCAGAGTTATAGTCAATGATTTTAACTAGAGCATTTTTATTGACAGCAATTGAACCTGGCTATGATTAACTATGTATTAGTAGTCTATGGACTTGCTATGTCTCTCCTTGGAATAGGACGACCTGAGGTAAGATTGGAAGTAGAAATAATACACACTTAAAATGTGACATGTATCTAATGTGGTATGTAGCTACAATCATGATAAATTTCAGAAACATAATACTGAGTGAAAAGGACAAGTTGGAGAGCACAAACATTATGATCCCACTTATGTACAGGTTCATACAGAGCAATCCTATATGTTGTTTATAGATATCTGTACATCTTGTAAAATTTAAAAATCATGGATTATTCTCAATCAGATTCAAGTAATGGTTGCATTTAGTGATGGAAGAGAGGAATGGACCTGGGGGGATTAGAAAGGAGACTTCAACTTTGTGTTATGCAGTTTTACTGGAAAAGCAAAAGTAAAATTGTTCTTTTTAATATCTCTTAGTTCTAGGTTGTTAGTACATGGCTATTTGATCCTTTCTGCAGTGTAGCTTCCCATGCCTGTGTGTAATCTGGGTGTAGGAATGAGCTCCCACAGTTCCCGTTGCTCATACTGTCTGCCCTTTACTGGTATGCTTGGTAACCTGCATTGTTCAGCTTAATAAATTCTGTTTCCTGTGGCTTGGTGTTTCCTGTAAATGTTGAGGTGCTCTAGAATGACCTCAAGTATACCTTTTCTGATGATTTGGGGTCAAAGTTTTCTTGATTAAAAGCTTGGCCCTAAATTCCTACTTTGTTAAGATCAAAGTTGTCTTTTATATTCTACTCACTCCTGGCAGTCCACAGTTTCTGAAGTTCATTTTCCTTGTTCTTGATGTAACAGGTGGAATGTCTTCCATTGATACCTAATTCTGTTTTCTAATGCATTGTTTGAAGTGATACTCATGATTTTAATTCTGTCTTGACAGAATAATAAATACTATCTTTTGCCTTATCAGAATTGATGAAATAGTTTATTCTATTTGTAATTTACTGTGTCATAGACTGATTTATAAATTAAAAATTTTGGGGGGGTACTGGGCATTGAACTCGGGACCTTGGACTTGCGAGGCAGGCGGCAAAACCACTGAGTTAAATCCCTGGCCCTAAAAATTTTTTTATCGGTACATTTTAGATATAATGATAACATTCATCATAGGGAATTTGTACTTGTACATGATATATCTTGCTTCTTCTGAGACAGATTTTTAAAAAATATTCAGGTATGGTAGAACTTACACATTTAATAAGTTTTCATTAGAGTAGTTCCTTAAGGGAACCATGCGTATGTGCCAGCACGGCCCTAGTTTCAAACATTTTTGGAATTCTTCCTTTGGAAATGTCCTCACAGCTACTTGCAAGGTCCAATTTTTTTTTTTTTTTTTTTTGGTACTGGGGCTCAAACTCTGGACCGAGGCAGGTGTCAGAACCACTGAGCTAAATCCCCAGCTCTGCAAGCTCCATTTTGAGGTGACCTTTCTATTTTCACCAACAATAGGGTTATTATTTCTTAGAACTAAAATCTTTTGGATTTTTTCCAAAAATAAAGATTTTTTAAAGCGCAGAGATTTCCCACTCTTGAGAATGTTTAAAAGTATGTGCTCTAAGCTCTGCTAAGTTTTTATTAAAAAGGTTTTTAAGACAGAGCTTTGTCTTTTACCAAACACTGTGGCAACATCATTGGAATTCTGGACTTTCCATGATATAGATTAGCATATATGTTATGGTCTGTTTGTACCAAAATCAGTCTTTTTTTTTTCAGACCGTGAATTCACATCTTTTAATGTTATCCAGGACACACAAGGCCCTTACTGTGTACTAGTAAATGCTCAAATGGTTGTCAAACATTTTTCAGGAGGACTGGTTTTGTTGTATCCCTGAGTTTCCATATGACCATCTGAGTAACCCTATGGTCAGAAATGTATATCATTTCTTAAAAAATGAAATGCAGAAGATATGATTTTCCATAGGAATTTACACAAAAAGAATCAATTTTCAGTTAAAGTTGTTCTAGTATTTTTTAAAATAAGTGATGGTTGTTCTCACTGCTGTTGAAGGAATTATCTGAAGCTGAAAACCAGTTTAAGAGGATTCTTGAATTCTATCCCAATGAGGGACTTGACTCCTTGGCCTACTGTGGAATTGGAAAAGTATATTTGAAGAAAAACAGGTTAGTAGAAATAGCACTGAGCTCCAAAGTGATAACTGGCTTGAAGTCTAATGTGATGGTAATCCTTTTTCTGGAATTATTTTGTTATCTTATGTGTGACAGTATTCTTATTGTGATTTACTTTGAGGCACTAGCATCTCAGTATCATTAATATTATCAAACCAAAGCCAGTCAGTGTACTTCCTGGTGTTTCCTAATTTTAAATCTTAGAAGAAAATCAATACTAATTTTACATGAAGAATTAATATCCTTTAGTATATGTTACCTATAAATAGTGACTGAATTCGTAAAATTAATGCTTTAAAATCTGATTGTATAGTATTTGGGTTAAATACTTATTTTTAAAAATCTGTGTAAAAATTCTTTTACTAAAAGGTACATATATGTTCAAAGACTTTGTGAGCTGGCATAAAAATCTCTTTCTGAACTTCTGGTTGGAATCCTTATTCAAAGTTTATGTCAGAGAAGCTCTTTAAGCATTCATCTCTCTTATCTTGTCTCTCCATATTGCTGCATGGCCCTAGGGCACAGGATTATGTCTGATGCTTTAAAAAAGAAATTCCTTAATTGATAATTTGAAATATTAAAAGGTCCAAAGGTGTAGGGGTGGTGGGAAGGGGAAAGGAAAAAAGAGAAAGGAAAAATTATGAGAAAGGAAAAAAAATGGAAACGAAATCTATGTAATTAGGGAAGGGGGGAAGGGGGGAGGGTGAAGGGCGCACAGGTAATGGGGAAAAAAATAAGAACCAAGATGTATCATGTACAGGTACAAG